GCTTCATAGTATTTTGCTTAATATGAGTTCGGAGAATAACGTTGATCGTATTGCTATGGAAATTGGTGTGTTCATGGAGGTTGAGAATCTTATGATGGCCCGTGGCTTTCTTCGGGTGCGAGTTGTGGTGAATACTCCAAACCCGCTAATCACTGGATGTTAGGTGCAAAAAGAGGATAATGATGTTACGTGGGTTGAATTCCATTATGAATGTCTACAAGATTTCTGTTATCGGTGTGGGATAATTAGTCATGCCAATACGGAATGTTCTTTTGAGCCTACGCCAGGTGGTATGGCAGGTTATGGAGAGTGGAATAGGACGGCTCCAGTCCGTGATTTAACGGAACCCTTTCGTTTTCTATCTCAGTGATGGCATCGACAAGATCGCCGAACTGGCCCTAGGATGGGCCTTTCGGCCCACTATACTAGGATTGATACAAGGCCCACAATTTTGAATCAAGTATTGCATGAAACTCAGCCCATGGGTGCCTTAAGTAATTTCCTCTTGGGTGTTGTCACTCATACATAGTAGGTGTCATTGGGGCCGGTTTTGAATATCTCGGGTCAAGCAAGTGCAACCCATTCTAGAGCTAGCCCACAGAGGTTACGTACAGCTACGGTAGTATCGCCTATGCAAGCAAGTGGATACCCAAGGGGATAACAGGCTATCCTGGCGATGGTGGGAGCTCAAACCTGAAGAGGGGATTGCAAGGGCGTGAGCTCAATATCCTCATATCTCAAGTTCCAATGAAGCATGGTAAATATCAAGCGATGTGAGAGTATTTGGAGGAAGAAGTTGAACTGGAAAGGTAGGCTCCGTTGGTGAGGAGAAAGGGGAACTTTTCAAGTGGTGGTGGCGGCTGTTTCAACAGTCGCCGAGTCACCATGATTTCTATGTTCTGGAACTGCCGTGGGTTAGGGTTGGACACGCTAGTTTGGGCCCTGTTTGGGCTTAGGAAGTATCGACACTCTATAATTTTTCTCTCTGAAACAAAAATGAAAGGTTGTAGACTTGATGGGCTATGAAGACGAATGAAATATGTGAATGGTTTTAATGTGGAGCTGGTTGGAATAGCGGGTGGGCTGAGTTTATGGTGGAATGAGTCAGTGGAGGTGGACATGGTGGATGCCTTTCAATCATTTATTGATGTTAGCTGTCGTGATGTTGAAAGGCAAATCAGCCTCAAATTTACCGGTGTGTATAGCACCCCTTATTAGGCAGAAAAAAAGTGATTTTTGGAAAGGTATGCAACGTGACTTTTCTCATTCTTTTATTCCCTGGATTTGTGGTGGTGATTTTAATGACTATTTATGGGATTGGGAGAAGGAGGGTGGTGCAGAGGTTAGTTCTCACCGTTTCCAGATACTTGGGTGGCTTTATGAACTGTATGGAATTACTGGAGGTGGAATCATGTGGTCCCAAATATACTTGGAGGGGCACTCGCAATGGGCACTTGGTGGAGGTTAGATTAGACATAGGTCTAGTGAATAAGCAGTGGTTTGATAGTTGGCCTAATACATGTTCTCTCATTGGTGCGGCTGTTGGTTCTGATCATAACCCGGTTATTGTGCATGGTGATCCTGTCTGTGGTAAAAGAAAACATATATTCAAGTTTGAAGCTTTTTGGGTGAAGGAAGCTGAATGTAAGGATATTGTGGAGCGATGTTGGGCTCGGCGTTTTGAGGGGGGCATATGGATCAATGGATGTGGAGAATTAATATTTATCGCTCCAAGCTGATGAAGTAGAGTCGGAAGAAGTTTTATAGTTGTACCAGGCAAATTGAGGCGATGGAGGAATCTCTGGGTAAGCTTCAAGAGGATTGGAAGTCTAACGTTGCGTAAATTGAAGTGTTATCCTTGGAGGTGGATAAGTTACGGCAATAGGAGGAAAGGTTATGGCATTAGCTATCGTGGGTGAATTGGCTTCAAGCGGAGGATGCCAATACTAAATTCTTCCATCAGTTTACATTACAATGGCGTCAGTGTAATAAGGTGCTTAAGTTAAAAGATGATCAGGGCGTGTGGCACGAGCATCCCAGACATGTACAGGAGCTTATAAATTTGCATTCTAAGCAACTTTTTACTTCGGTGGGTCAACGAGATTGGGCTCAGTGTTGGATTGTATTTCACCCAAGATAATTATGAAGATGAATGTGGTTCTTGAAGCTACGATATCAAGAGATGAAATTCGGGCAGCCGCTATGCAAATGAGGGCTTTGAAAGCTCCAGGTCCCGATGAATTCCAAGGCATCTTCTATCACTATTTTTGGGATAGTCTTAAGGAGGAAATGTTGGACTTGGTTGAGGATCTCATGAATGGTACTTGTAGTTTGCATCGAATTAATTCCACTCATGTTGTACTTAATCCTAAGGTTCCCCATCCAGAGTATGTATCTCAATTTAGACCAATTAGCCTATGTAATTATTCATATAAGATTTTGTCAAAGGTATTGGCAAATCGTCTTTGTCCATTTTTGTCGATGCTTATTTCCCATACGCAGAATGCTTTTATGGTTGGTAGGCAAATTCATGACAATATTGGCATTGCTCATGAAGTTCATCACTTCCTTAAAACTCAAAGAAGGAAATAGACATTTAAGCTTGGGGTTAAGCTTGATATGCAAAAGGCGTATTACAGAATGGAGTGGGAGTTCTTAGTGGCAATCATGCAGCGTTTGGGATTTGGTCAAGCTTAGTGTAATCTGGTTCTTCGATGCATTGGTTCACTTTTCCATCCTTCTCAATGGTACCCCAAGGAAGCAGTTTGCTCCATCATGTGGTCTCCATCAAGGGGATCCGTTATCACCATATTTGTGTTTGTTTGTGAGTGAGGTTTTTTCTCTACTCATATCAAGGGCATGTGCTCAAGGTGCTCTAGCTTTGTCAATGATTCCTCTCTGTTTCTTAAAGTGGATAAGGAGAATTGTTGCACTCTGGTTTGTTTATTAAAGCAATATTGTGTGGCTTCAGTCTGCAGAAATCTAGCCTGTTCTTTGGGTCGTATGTTCCTACCAGTTTAGCGGCGGAACTTGTTGGTATCTTGTGCATGCTTAGGGGTGGCTGATCCCGGCACGTATCTCGGTGTGCTAGCTATGTGGGGCAGATCCACATCTAAAGGGTTGCCCTATGTGAAGGACCGGATTCTAAGCAAGTTTCAAGGTTGGAAACATACTCTTCTTTCGCAGGCAGGGAAAAAAGTTCTACTTAAGGCGGTGGTTCAGGCTATTCTCGTTTATCCGATGAACCTGTTCAAGTTTCTGAAACTTATCTATAAAGAAATGGATTCTTTGGTTACCAATTTCTGGTGGGGGCATGATATGAGGGAGAAACATATCCCTTGGGTTTCCACGGACATTCTTCGTTTGCCAAAAGCTCAAGGGGGGTTGGGTTTTCGAAGCTTTATGGAGTTTAATGATGCCTTTTTAGCGAAGCAATGCTGGTGTTTAATTCAGGAACCAGAGTCACTATAGGCACATGTGTTAAAGGCTAGATATTTCCCTCACTGTTCATTTCTGAAGGCCAGGCAGGGAGGTTGTGCTTCTTGGGCTTGGTCAAGCTTGTTACGAGGTTGTGATATTCTGTTGCATGGCTTCCATTGGCAAGTGATGAGTGGCCAGCAAATTAGGCTCTGGCGGGATCGATGGTTGCCTTCACTTCCGGATGGTCACCCTATCCTTTCTAGGGACGTCTAGGTTAGCCGAAACACCAGGGTGGATTTCATTATTAATCCAGCCAATAGAGAATGGAATATGGAGTTTCTTAGACCGTTTCTTTTGGTGGAGGCACTTGAGGCTATTTTAGCCATTTTAATTGGCGAGACTATGTGGCAGGATCGGTTGGTCTGGCCTATGGTTAAGACCGGAGTGTATTTTGTCAAATCGGGTTATCATTGGCAACGTTCTCAGCTTCCTCCTCTGTCGCCCCGATACTCCTCCTCTGCTGCATCCATTCCAGGGAGATTATGGTAGTGGGCGTGGCAACTTCATACTCCCCCTAAATTGAAATGCTTTATGTGGAAGGCATTGCATCGTGCAATTCCCAGGATGACAACTCTTTTCATCCAGAAATCTGCGCCTTCACCGCTTTGCCCTTTATGTCATTCACATGAGGAGTCTGTTGAACATTTGTTTCTTCTCTGTCCATGGGTGAAAGCTATTTGGTTTGGGGGTGCTTTAACATATCGTGTTAATCCTCCGAATATTACTCGTGGGGTACTTGGCTTTTGGCTGTTTTACAGGATCATGTTCTTTCCAAGAATGACTTGATGCGGGTTTTTTCTCTCATTGCATTTTCTTGTTGGCACTTTTGGAAAGCAAGGTGTCGTTTCCTTTACCAACATGAAGCTATCAATTCGTTTCAGGTCCTCTCTGCTATTTCCACCAGTGCGGCGCCTTTCCTTGATGTTAGACAGGTTTCCTCCAGTCGACGGGGGGCGACACTTCTCTCATTGTGAGGGACAAATTAGGTAGGTGCCGCTAACTCTTCCCTATGTAAAAATAAATGTTAATGCCAGTTGGGATGTTGTTACGGGCAATGGATATGCAGGGGTAGTGGTGCGGGATTTTTTGGGGAATTTCCTGGCAGCTCGTCGCACCAAACTTAGAGTGACTTGTGTGGATTCTGTGGAAGCCTTGGCTGTGCAGAATGGTTGTGACTTAGGTATCTCTTTGGGTCACACTCATGTGGTTGTTGAATCGGATTCTCACGACACTATATCTTGTTTGCGAGGTTCAATTTCTGAGGGCATGTGGGAGGCTTTTCCTATTTTAGCGATGTGTGTGAAGCTTGGCGAAGCCTTTCATGTCCGTCGTTGGTCTTGGATTCCAAGATTAGCCAATTTGGTGGCTGACCATTTGGCTTCGTGAAGGTGTGTGGAGAAGTGTGATGTGTCTTGGGTGGATAGGCCTCCATCTTCACCTGTGCATGTTTTAAATAAGAATGACTTACCTTGTCCGCCTTAATTTGTGGGGGAGGTGCTAGGGGGGACACTTTGAGCCTTGCTTTAAGTGTCGGGTAGTCTAACCCCTGTACTTCCTGGTTGTATTTGAGGATTGCTGTTGCTTGACTTTCGTTGTACTTTTGGGCACCTTTTGCCTCGTTAATGTAGCTCTGTTTACCAAAATAAAATAAAAAATAAAAAATAAAAAGATTATTAATTAAGGAGAAAATTAATGAAATAAACTTCAAAATCTAAATTTTAATAAAAAAACCATCTAATAACATAAAAATAAAAATTTTCACCATTTATAGAAATAAACGTGACCACCCGATCACATTGCAAAATTTCTCAATGATAAGAAAACATGTCTTGCTGTGACGGTGCTGTCTTTTGCATGGACAACTAGTTACAAACCCAAAACCCCTCCCGTGTTCCAGCCCAAAACCCCTCCTCTCTGTTGTAGCCACCACCTAAACCCTAAACCCTAAAGTTTTTTTTGGCTCCAGTGCCCTGCGTCTTCGCCCTTCGTTCTTCGAAGCCCAAATCGTTTCGTATTCTTGGCGACCAGAGAATCTCTGACCTGCTGCCAAGACTCAGACCCAACGGTCCGCATCGACAGAGTCGCAGAGTCATAGACCTACACGGCTGCACCATCCACCCAGTGCACCCACACCCAGACCCAACGGTCCGCCTGCCTCCGCTTCCGACCCTCCGCGCTCCGCCGTTCCGCCGTTCGATAATCTCTCTCAGGTCTCAGCGCCTCCATCTCTTTTCGGTTTCAGTTGTCTCATATTTTTTTTTCTTTTCACCTTCTTTTGCTTGAAATTGGATTTTACTAATCCGGGAAAGCAAGACTGCAACTTCTATGTATTTGATATTGTTACGACATCATTAAAATTGGTATTTCTAATTTATGATCAGAAAACCCAAATCTCCTTCCAAATTCTAACACGATTATTTAACTTAGTATTATTAATAACTTCTTGTATTACTTAGTTTTGGAGGAGACCTATAAACATATGATTGGATTTGTTTGATTGGTGGTATTTTCAGACCTATAAACATATGATTGGATTTGTTTTGATTTTAACGGGAATTCGTCGTTGCATATCTGTTTGTTTTCTGAGTAAAAATGGAGAATATTGTTGTACTTCTTTAGAAAATGAGAATATCAATGTAGTACTGATTGAGAAAAGTTTGGCTGTTCTGTTCGCTATTGCCTTATTTTGGACGCTCATAAAATACATGTGGAGGTTCTTGAGTATGAGAAGGATCCTGTGACTGTTTTGGTCACTGGTGGTGCAGGCATGCCATATATTCTCATATCGATAAACCCGTCTTGGATGTTTTCCTGAATTTGTAGCTTAATCTTGATGTCCAATTTTATGATATTGAAAGTAATTGGCATACATTATGAAAAGAATTATGCTTTTAAATGTAAAACTTGCTTAGTTCCGAATTCTTGAAAACTTGATGAAGGTTCATGCTTGATGTTGAACAGGGCAATATAGTATGCTATTGTTCCGATGATTGCGAGGGGAGCGATGCTAGGCCCTGACCAGCCTGTAATTCTGCACATGCTTGATATTGGACCTGCAGCTCAAGCCTTGAAGGAGGTGAAAATGGAACTGATTGATGCTGCCTTCCTCTTCTCAAAGGTATGCTTCATACAGGCACATTTTGATTGTTCGCCCTGGGCACCAAAAAACTCAGGACCAGCCCTGCTGAACGTGGGTAGTTGATGATATATAAGCAACACAAGCAACTCAAATTTCTAATCTTCAACTTAAATTTCATCCTTGATGACAGTTGGTGCGGTTAGTTGTTCACACCGCAGAATTTGCAACTGTTATTTTACTCCTAATTTTGTCAAATTTTCTTCATTATCTGCACTTAAAGCTACAGACTTTACTTATGAAGCAAACAATTCCGATGACTGTAACTACCGTGAATTACAGCTCAGTATGCAATGCCATGCCTCCTCCGGTAACTTTGTGAAAGCCCTAGACTCTTTGAACTCCATGGGCAATGTGCCTGGCAAACCCACGGTGTATGATTTCAATGCTTTGCTTTACTCTTACTTGAAGTCACAGACTGTATTGCTAGACAATGTGGTTCAGGTTTACCACGGAATGAAGAGATTTGGGCCCGCTCCAAATGCTTCCACTTTCAATGCACTTTTGAATGGTATGCTATCACTTGGTCATCTGAAAGATGCTCATATGATTGCTGAAGAGATGTTTGATGGTGGGTTTTTACCCTCGTTTACTTCTTTGTCGAGAATCTTGAAAAACATGCTTAGAGTTGGGAATTTAGTTAGCTCAATGGGTGTTTTTAAACTTATGTTGAGGTTGAAGTATTTCCCGACCGAACCCAGTTTGTGTTTGTTGATTTCTAAGCTTAGTAAGGCCATGATGACTGAAGAGGCGTGGTTTGTGTGCTATGCTCTTATGCGTAAGGGTCATTTTTTCGGTGCTTATGTTTATAACCCTATGCTTTGGGCGTTGTGTAAGACCGGCCAGAGTAATAATGCTTTGCAATTGTTTTATTGGATGAAGAGGAAGGGCGTTGTACATAATGTGTGCTCTTATACTGCTTTAGTTTATGGGTTTGGTAGAGAAGGTTTGTGGAGAGATCTTCTTTGCTGTTTAGATGAAATGGAGACTGATGGGTGTAAGCCTAGTGCGATAACATACACTATAGTTATTAAATCTCTTTGTGGTGATGGGAGGATTGCAGAGGCGTTAGAATATTTGGCTAAGATGGAAAGGGAAGGATGTGAACCAGATATGACCACATACAATGTGATCCTTCATGCACTTTGTATTCAAGATAGAGCGAATGACATTTTCAGCTTACTTGAGATGATTGAGAACAAAGGATTTTCTCCCAACGCGTACACATATGCTGCTGTGGGAGGAGGCCTGTTAAAAACAGGTAACATTGGGATTGCTTGTGAACTATTGCTTGATGTGATTACAGAGGGCAACTATGTGGATGTTGTTGTGTACAATATATACTTCAATTGTTTGTGTCATGAGAATAGATCAGAAGAAGCGCTATATGGATTGAAGAACATGATTGGAGAAGGTTTAATGCCAAGTAATGTGTCATACAACACAATTTTAAAGAGTTTCTGTAGAGAAAATAACCTCTCCAAGGCTTTGAAATTCTTGGACTACTTTAAGTGGGACGAAAATGGGCCTGATGTGGTTTCCTTCAATACGATTTTGTCTGTGGCATGCAAACAGAAAAAGCGTTCAATGATCCGGAGGGTCTTGAGTCATATGAAGAATGGCGGTGTTCAGCCTAATGTTGTTAGTTTGAATTGTTTAATTCAGTACTTCTGTAGGGTTGAAAACTTTTCTGAATGTTTAAAGCTCTTGGATTACATGACGTGCAGTGGTTCTAGTCCCACTATTGTCACTTTTAATCTGTTGCTAGACAGACTTTGTAAGAATGGTCTAGTTGGAATTGCAGAACGGGTTTTTAGGCAACTACGGAATACTGGAGTTTTTCCTGATACAACTTCTTATAATATTCTTATTCACGCCTTCATTAAAGAGGGCAATAAGGCGATGGTTAATCAATTGGTTAGTGATATGTACAACCAGAGACTAAAACCAGATCTGTTTACATATGGGTCCTTAATTAGTGGCCTTTGCAAGGATGGAAAGGTATCTGTTGCTCTTGAGTTGAGGGATGACGTGGTAGAGAATGGGCTTACTCCAAGCATAGCAATCTACAATACCTTATTAGAGGCAGTGTTCAAGAGGGGTGCTTTTTCAGACATTTTATCATTATTGAAAAATCTTGTACTGGAAGGTTGTCAACCGAATGAGGTAACTTTTGAGATTCTGAACCGACCAGTATTCAAAAGTTGGATAAAGAGATCTCCTGAGGTTTCAAATCTTGTGGAGCTTGTGCATGAATGCAAAGTTAATTGATATAGGGTCACTGACCCAGTGTAAAGCCTTTCTCTTCGGCAAAGAAGAATTATCCCAAGAAGATTAAAATATTCAGTCAGGTACAAAGGATTCTTATATCATATTTAGCTGCTTAGGATTTTTTATCTTGATTTTACTTTTTTTTTTCTTTCTGATATCTATGCATATTTTGTACAAAACATATATCACAAACTGTTTGCATTGTGATTAAAGCAAATGTATCAGAAGTTTATTCCATTGCTTCAAGTAGATCAGAAACTGTTGTAAATTCTGTAGTGCAGATGGGTTTCATTTACATTTTCTCTTTCAGGATATTAAAGGTCATTGCTTTTGCCCATGGCATTTGCTTTAGGGTCAATTAACTTTGCTGATTATGATTGTGTTCATGTTGGCCTTTGTTGGAGCGATTTATGGCAGGTATGTTCTGTATTTGGGTCATTTCCTACCAAAATTATTTTAACCCCTATCAATGTGTCAATTAAACTACGTACCTACCTAAGTGTTGTTCAATGTATTTTTGTATGTTCTATACTGCTGAGTATTTCCTTACCCCAGAATTTTTTTTGGTTGACTGATGCAGGAGCATGAAGTAAAAGCTAAGCACCACCAACTGATTAGTGGGGTATGTTTGTCTGTTGGTTAAATAACCATCCGCTTGTAATTTCGTTACTGATACTCATAAGATTAACCTAATTGTATTAGGTTCATCCTCTGGTTTCTATTCTTTAATATTGGGCTTCTACTTTCATATGGGACTTCATCAGCTTTCTTTTCCCTTCATCCTTAGCAATAATTCCTTTTTACATCTTTGGTATGTCTTTAAACATGTAGTTCTTCACACTTTTTTCTTGTACGAATTTGGGCTTCCAAATTCAGTTCATCACTGAATTTTTTTTTTTTTTTTTTGTAAAATAATTTGTGAGAACGTCGTCATTTCTTTTGGTCAAATCTGAAAATTAGTAGGATTCAAAATGTTTATGCGCATTTTTTTTGTTTGGTTAGTGTCTACGGATATAGGAGAATATTTCGACACTAGATATTGTACTATGAGGTAGATAACATAAACATATTCTACACAATGAGTAGACACCAACCAAGGGCATTAAGCTCCACAGTTATTCTATGTTTTCTTGAGTTCCATCAAACATTGAAAAATTCTTCAGGTTTACTTATTTTACGAGAAGACTGTATGTAGGTCTGGAGCAGTTCATTGGAAGCGGATTGTTGACTCGACAATCGTCATGTTTTTAACGTATGGATTAGCAATTGCATCTCCACATATTGCCTTATTCTCTGACCACAGTATGGCTCAGGTGGTGTATTTTCTATTTGTCTTTCTCTTATTCTCACATTCACGGCATTAACCTTGCAACTTTTGGTTATTAACGTTGTACTTATTTGCTTATTCATGTCCAGAATGTGCTTCTCTTGGTCCACTTCTTACGGGACTCAATTCTTCTGGTTATCTCATTCATCATGGGGCTTATAAAGACAACAGCAAGTGCAAATTCTTTTCTTAAGGTTGTATTCCTACACGCTGCATTGACTTTTAACTATCCAAACCGTCTCTCTCTTAAGCCATTCCTCAAAGATCATCTCTACCAACAAAAAAAACTCAAATTGAAAATATTATGACCATTTGGTTAAAAGGTGGTGTATTTCGTGGAAGCACCATTTAAATATATTTTCTTTGTCACAATTAGATGCCTTAAACGGCTCTAAATTTAGATTAATCTTTGTGAGGATAGCCTTTGAATGAAGACTTGAAAAATAAATGGTTTGGATTGGTAAGATATAACGTGGAGTGGGTCCTACAAGGTGTTCCTCAAATAAGATTGTGCGTCTCAGTGCCATGTGACAACGTGAGAGAACTTGTCTATAAATAAAGTTTTTTATTGTTTAATAATAAGAATATACTTTAGTGGAGCGGGGAGAATACCACTCTTGGAAATTGTGATTAATAGCTAAATGTTGACTTTATTTAGAAGGAAGTTTAGCGAGTCTTTTTAAATTTACTTTCAGGATCTTGATTCATTTGGAAAAGTAGGACTAATTGAAATTGTACTCGATCTTACTATTGTTTCCATCTTTTTCTGTTTTAATTCGTAATTTGGTAGCGTTGTGTTGGTGTGAACCATCTAATATAATAGAAGCAGTGAGTCTAGAATTTTTTTACCAACTGATGGAGGGATGTTCTAGAAATTTTAGCTTGCCTCTTAGTAAATGTCATGATTCAATATAGAAAACTGGGTGCTGATGACGTGCCGAGAATAGCAATCTTCCCTAACATTTAGATCTATGCTTCCAGAACTTTTTCAGATTATCTCCAGGCTTTTGCTTTGCTGATGGACTTGCGTCACTGGCTCTTCTACGGCAAGATATGAGAGATCATTCCAGCAATCAGGCCTTTGATTGGAATGTTACTGGTGGCTCAATTTGTTACCTTGGTATTGAGGTACATATCTTGGCCTTATGCAGGAAATCTTCTGCAACCGTTTGCTGAAAAAGTAAAATTTATTTCTTGAGAAGTGGAAGTTTCAATGAATATATAATGGTAACAAGGAATAACCATTCTTGGAGTATTGGCTTGCTTTGGTGTTAACCACTTCTATATTTATATGTCAGCAAGACGAGACGAAACCCTAAAGTTAAAACTTTACAGAGTCGCTTGTTTCTTTCACTCTGTCAAAATGTAAGCTAGATATTGGAGCAACACATGTTGGTTATGTATAATATTATGTTACTCACATCCTAACAGCTTGAGCTATTGGGATATGTTGGTACTATATCCTAGGATCAGACATCGGTGTCCTAGACATCCTGGATTGAAACCTCCCACTACAAACTATATGAAAGTAGGAGATCTTGGGTATAAATTCTTGTGGTTGCAGCCCTCCGTACAAATTGAACTCTGCTTTTAAATTTTTTTTTTCTTTTTAACTTGTTCATTTCTTATTACTAGTCTTTATGAGAAAGTGGTACAAGGTTGGCAATTACATTTAGCATGTGCTGCGCGTGCATTGTAATCAACGGAAAATTTAGAGCAAGAAGTGTAACAGCTTGTGTCTTGGTTTGCTATTTGTTACATGTTTAAATATATGATTGAAAATCTAACTAATTCACATGGAAAATATGGTTTATATTGATCTGATTCAAAGTCTCGCCTGTGGCAGAGCGTTTGTTACTTCCTTTTGACACTTGGGCTTGAACTCTTACTTTCTAACAAGTGGACACTAGCCACACTGAAGGAATGTTGGAACAGCATTAGAAGTATCGAACATGGCACTCCAAGTTATCTAGAATCCCTTCTGAAGATTTCCTCAGATGTTGTTACTCTTGACCTTGATGAAGATATAGATGATAAAGACAGAAAGAACTAGGGTTCTTTCAGGTTCCATTGACAATGCCATAATCTATTTGCAGAATCTTTGGAAGGTATTTCTATTATGGTTTAAAATGATATTGGTGGTTCTCAAAACAGTTGTCCACAGTTACACATTGCCTACTTTTGTTATTTCGTTTTCACTGTTTTCATTTCATAGAAAAGTAGACATTCTCAAATCTTGAAAACGCAAGATTCAGTTTCTTCTATTTTGTTTTGCAAAGCAGTCCTCTTGAAAGCCGTACAATAAAATGCGTGGAGGTTGGACCATAATCCATCTCATATTCTCACCCTTGGCCCTGAATTCTTGATTTCTGGTCAGGGTGGAGCAAGCTACGTCTCTTTTGGAGTGTTTTAGATTCCTGGGTCAAGTTCCCTTTCTTTGGAGCAATGTAAGCCTCTCTACTTAACGATGGCCAGTAGGATACATGTGGATCGGGGATCTCTGGGATTCACCTGTGGCTCTAATAAGATTAATAATGTGTGTATTTTAAGTATGGATAGCAACTAGTAATTTATCTCAACTTTTTTTGCAGTTGCCATATGGACAGGGCCTCTCGGTTGCAGATGTCTTCGGGCACCTTGAACGGAACAGGTGAATTTCGTCATACCTTTTCTGTCTGTTCATATTTCTTCACGCTCAATCTGACCAGCGCTGTTTATAATCTCTCTTTTCCAGAAGTAAACTTGGCATTGCAGAATACAGTATTAGCCAGTCCACTCTCGAAACCATATTCAACCATTTTGCAGCTAACTCGTGACATCTTAATCGTGGATTGAGGCGAATGTAATTCAAATAGTTTAGCAATAGTCGGCAAATCACCACCCGGCATAAGCGTCGCCCCCACTTTCAAGGTTGAGACCATCATAAGACCCTTTGTAAATCTCAGAAACAGTATATTCAAGTACATAATTTCAAACTTGGGTGAAATGTAATCTGGTACGAAATTACAGGTTGAGAGTTATACCCATCATATTGAATTCTATTAGTAGTCGAATGCAAAAACAAGGATTTTTAAAGCTGAGTAGAAAAACAGTCGGAAGCCAACGGCAACTCCCGTGCAATTTCGGTTTAGTGTTACGACATGTCCTACGTAAAAGGTAGAAATAAAACTGCACCGTTCGAGCAAGCTTAGCTGCCATGGCCCCCAAATCAGCCCAAGCATTTGATCAACCAACAGAGTATGATTAATGAAAACAAAATGGGATTAACAAAACAAATCTAACTAAATTAGAAAATGAGAGAGAGCAACCTGCTGTATGTTTCTTCTGTCTCACATCTTCATGGCTTGTTGGTTTGAAGGCCTTCCTTCAGTGTTAAAACTGCATTTGATGTGAGAATGTGTGCGAAGGAGACAATTTTCACTAATGTTGTGGCGGTTTCAATCCATTCGATCCATGTGAAACGATATTTGTGCTTATTTGCTATACTATCATTCGATTCGTATACTTGTGAACAATAAAATTTGGAATTTAATTGGATTGATTTTTGTTGATCTCATTTTCACAACAATTATTTTATTTGTTTTTTTTGTTTTAAGGGTATTTCTGTCCAATTATTTTTTCAAGGCCTTCTTTCACCAAACTTAGACCTGGTTTGGTACTGAGGTGATTCTGAAAAAAGCTGGGAGCTATTTTTGTGTTTGGTAAACATTCAGCTTCAGCTTTTTTTCATAGTTTTGGATGAAAAAAAGCCAAAAACAAGAAGCTGCAAAACCCAGCTTTGAAAAACTGGCTTTTTTTCACATCTGTTTTACATAAAAGTTTACCAAACACTATAACACTGTTTTTTTTTTTTCCAAAAGCACTTTTACAAAAAAATTTACCAAACACTTTGTTGCTTTATTTCACAGCTGCTTATTCTCACAGCACAGCAGAAGCAGCTTTTTTTCAAAGCACAGCAATACCAAACCAGCCCTTAGAGCTTGATTTATAATAGTAGACATACAGATGTTTTGCGTTTGTCTGCATTATTTTGATTGTAAGAAGCCAGATTTATATGCAACTTTCACATACATTTGAACAAAAACAGTGTCTGTTGGCCGCCTCCAATAGTAACATGCCTATTCTCTCGAGTCATCTCGTGGCATTGAGATCTAAAGCAACAATTGTGCAATACGTGTTGAACCCAGTCCATACTTCGTCAAATTTTGACACCACTGTGTTATCAATTTAAAAACTTCTTGTTCCATAAGAATACCTAAATAGTTTCCGACCATAAACTAAGTGGTGTGTTGTGAAATTAAGATTTAGGAGGGTTTTCAGATCTAATTTCTAAAGTGGTGGATTTTATAAGATTTGTAGAATCCATACCTCATATATGGATTTCGAAGTTTGGTATAGACTTTTGTTTATAGATTTTAGTGAATTTTTATAGGAGTGGTTCGGTATGAGATTCCAAATTCCAAATCAAAAATTTTTAGGATGTGAATTTGAAGACCAATCTCGAGCCAAAGTTTCGGTATTCCCAATTTTCGAGATTCCCAAAATATTTTCGGTATTTCGGGATAGATCGGGATTTCGTTTTGGGTTTTAGGCTTTTGGGCTTTTGGTCGTAAATTTGAGATTTTTGGGTTGTGGACTAAAATTTGGGACTTGGCTTACAATTTTGTTGCCCAACTTCATATCAATTGAACTTTAGGCTTTTTACCTATTACCTATTTGAAATTTCTTACCTATTGAAATACCAAATCATTCTTACCAAGTCAAATTGACGTTCCAAAGTTCCAAACTACTTAATTTCGTACTTCTATTTCTAATATAGTCTACTCTCAAATTACTTAAATTCAACATTCAACATGCATGCAACCAAAATATATATACATATATATTTTCGGTTTGTTTGGGATTCCCGAACCATTGAATATGTAATCCCGATCCTGTACCAAAAAGTTAAGGATCGGTTCGGTATGATCCCAAAAATTTTGGTATTATCAGTTTGGGAATTTTTCGGTATGGGATCGGGATTTTTTTGGTTTGGTTTGGGATTTTTGGGAAAAATTTCTAGCCCTAAATTTTCATATACATTATTTTCAGTGTGAATTATCTAGATATTTTTTTTTATTTTTATTTTTTGAACAAACCATATTATCTACACTAAGAGGGAGGGGTTGGGATTAGGCTCACAATGGGTTAACAATAATGTGGTTCAAATTCGCTTTTGGCGAGAATCGAATTTGAGACCTCTCACTTATAAGTGAAAAGGAATACCACTAGATCTTAGTACTATGTGGTATTTTTTTTTTAAATATTAAAACACAAAAGAAAAACTTTTCTCATTGGCACCCTTATTACCCCATTGCCACCATATCCCCATCCTCCGCCTCTTTCACACCACCACCTCCCCAGCCTCTACCTGTGCATGTCTATTTGAGAAAATATGAATTCGTAGAAAATCCTTCGGCTACCAGATTAAAGACTATATGATTGTGATTAGTAAAACGAAAATGAATATCATAGACGATTGGAGGAGAAAATTGGCGATGAAATTTAGAACACGAAGTGGTAATACTTTAGAGTAATGGTAGCCTTATGGCCTAGGCAAATTGATAATTAATCTTGCCTCAAAAATGAAAAAACTTATAGTCAAACAAAATTTATCTAGTTAAATTGAAGTCTAGGCATCTTGTGAGACAAACTAACCTCAGCCTAAACCTTCGGCAATATAGGATCCACTTAACAGTTAGAATCCTAAAAAAATATAATAGGCTATATCATTGTTTTGAGGAGCAAGATTTTACCTCTAGCCTCCAGCTCTTGTCTAACACATTTGATATGCGTCTTTATTCTGTTGGATGAGTTCTGTATTTCTATTGAATTGAAGATTTGGGAGATTGGGTTTGATTTTTTTTGTGCCATTGATTTGATGGTAAAAACGTTACCTTTCGGATTGCACTCATTAGTCATCGCTCTCTCTCTCTCTCTCTCTCTCTCCTCTCTCTCTCTCTCTCTCTCTCTCTCTCTCTCTCTCTCCACTATACAAATACTTACAAATCCATATAAAAGTTGTGGATTCTACAAATTCTATTAAAATCTACCACTGTTTATTAATCTTCAAAATTAAAGATCCAAAGCTTTGTAATTGAAATAAATAAATAAGTTGGCGAATAATCTTTATTTTCAGTCCAAACAATGAACCCAATGAGTTTTTTATTTGTGAACTGACAAATGAATTTAGTTTAAGCAAAATCACAATCTTTCTAAATTACGTTTCAAACCTCAAACCAGATATTCATAGTGTATTAGTGGGGAGGATGTAAAACTGTAGTATAAACTAATTCGTTTCACATGCATAAACAATAAACAAACACTACGTGAAGGGATTAAAGAAAATGTTCTATTTAAATAAATGGAAACATTTCAATTATGTTACACCAGTTTACAAGTCTGATACCTCTTTTATTCCCCTTGGTTCTAGCACTGCATATATAAGAATTTACAGACGTTTCATACGTGAATAATTTATACTTATAGTAATTTAATTAGTCTACCTAAGCCACTTTATTTTTCTAGACAAATAAATGGACGACGCTTTTTTTATTTGCATGCTTGAGATAGTAAAACGTTTGCAGTTGCACTAATTTCAGCTCTCTTTCTCTTCCTCTCCCTCTCTCCAGTAACTTCCAATCTCACTCCAAACAACTTTAGCACTCTTTCATTATCTTCCTCCTCTTTCTCAGTCGAGTCTCCATACTTTGCCACCAAGTCAAGAAGCTCCTTGCACTTCCGTTTCATGCTCGTCAGCTCCGAGCTCAAAACCCCGTTCTCCTGCTTCAGCCTTTTGTTTTCGTCGACGAGAGAGCTGAACTCGGATGATGATGAAGTTGAGGAGGACCTTTGGTCTTCATCAAACTCATTTGGTAGTAGTACAGCTGCTCCAGCTTGTTGGGTTACTGCATTGTTGATCGGCTGTTGCTTGGTGGCCCATGCTTTTCTTCTACGGATGTCACAAAGCTGATCCTTTTCGCCCTTTCGGAACTTGTCGTTGCAGAACTCCCACCTGTTCGTGGAAACTTTGCGAAATCCCTGTATATACGCATGGCGTTTGATTACACGAGGGTTATATACCAAATCATTGTAAGAGTTCATTATATATACATACACACACTGCGTCCGTACATAATTCCCTTGCTATTAGCCATTGATCTATCCACATCATTATGTGCAACGAGCTTCGGTTGCTATTGTCAAACTTTTCTTGTAGTGACAACATATATATATATATAAGAGTCGAAGACCCATGTTTGGCTTTAATTATTTTTTTAGGATTAATATATATATATATATATATATTTATGGTTTAGGATTGGGGGACACACATTTTTTGATAAATTTGGTAGAGATGTAATGTATTTCAACAATCCTAGTCTATTTTTTGGGCATTCATTTAAAGATCATGTCTACTAAATATGAAACTATACGAGCATGATAGTCATTTTAGTGTTTCTTTGCGCAACCATGTTCGTCCTTGCTGTACTACAAATGAATATCCTAATGGTTTTGGATTTATCTAATTAATTTTGTAAGAATGATCTATGAGTGATGAATTGAAATATAGACCGTTCAGATCATTAAAAAAAGCTACATAGTGTGCCTACAAATTGTGTGTCAAAAAATGAGTGTCCCCAATTGTAATTTTTATTATAAATTAACCTATATTATATATTAAGGGAATCTTCTCTGTGAACTAAAAGAGAGTTAAATGAATATTAGAGCATTTAAATGCCAAATAATTTTAAAATTTGTTCTAAAATTCATGGGCATTATTGTAATTTTATTTACTTCTACTTTCTTTGTAAGATCCCACATCATCCGGGGGAGAGGAAATGATGTGCTTTATATTTATATACTCACCTCCCTATAATGAGACGCGTTTTGGTGGAAGCCCAAGAACAAATCGTGAGGGCGTGGCCCAAAGCGAATAATATCTTGCTATGCGGACTAGGATGTGA